AACATATAGTGTAATATTAGTTTCAGGAGTACAATTTAGTCATGCATCACTTACATAGAATACCAGTGAGACGTACTTTGAATTATATCAATCCTTTGAGTTTCATTTGATACTTACTTTATTACTGTATTTGTGGTAGGTACATGTTCTTTTGAAATAAATGAATAAATAATCATCAGTGTTGGATTCACTGTTGCTGCACATGTCAGTTGAATTTTGTTTTCCATGTTAAGTTCATTCATATCTGTGCTGATTTGTGTTTGTTTGTTTTTCTATCAGTTGTCAAAGGAAGTATGTTAAAGTCTCTCCCGCTGTGCATTTAAAAACATTTCTTATTTTAGTTCTGTCAATTTTTGCTTTTGTGTTTTCACGCTGTTCTTCTAGGTACACACAAATTGAAGCATATTAAATCTTGGTGTATTGGCCCCGCCAAACTTTAAGAGAGTCTTCCTGTGTCTATGCCATGCTTTGTTTTTTCTTGTTTTGCCTGAAGTCTACTTAAGCTGTCCCAGCGCACTTTTGACAAGTATTTACAAGGCATACATTTTTATCATCCTTCAACTTTCAATTTTTTGGTTTCTTACTTTCAATATGTATGTCTTATAAGCAATATATAGTTAATTTTAAAAGCATACTTTTTCAGTCTGACAATCTTTCTCTTTATAGTATTTAGTCTATTTATATATTAATATAAGTACTGATATATTGGGGTTTATAGCTACCATCTTACTGTACTAGATATATATCCTATGTTCTGTATTCTTTACTCTCTCTTTTTTTTCTTTTTTCTTTTTCTTTTTTTTTTTTTTTTTTTTTTTTTTTTTTTTTTTTTTGCTTTCTTTTGGGTAAATCAATTCTTTTCATATCATTTTACTCTCTACTAGCTTGTTGGTTATAATTTCCTCTTGGCTTCCTTTAAGTGTTATCATAGATATTACATAATTCAACCTGGACTTATTACAATTGCATACAAATTAGTACTCTTACCACTTCTCCAGGACCCAGAACACCTTGACTTGATTTACCCTTCCCACTTTTTGTACTACCGTGTCACCCATTTCATTCTCCTTACAGTTTAAGTCTCAATGATACTGTGAATATTATGTTGTTCAAAAATACTCTTTAAGATTTGTTTATGTTTTTTCAGTGATTTGTTTCTCATCTTCTCCTGCTTCTCTCTGTTTCTGATTCGGATCTGATTTTCCATACACCTGAAAAATATTATTTTTTTATTATTTTCTCAGTTTTTGTTTGTCTGCAAATTTCTTTATTTCCCTTCACTTTTGAAGAGTTATTTTTGCCAAAGATAGAAGTCTAGTTTGGTCCTCATTTTTCTTTTAGTGCTGTAAAAGATGTCTTTTTATCCTTTTTTGCCTTGTGTAGTTTTTGTTTGTTAATGTTATTCATAATTGTACTTCTTTGAAACTAAGTTTCTTTTTGTCCTCTGCTGGTCCTGAGATTCTTTTCCCCTTTATCTTCAGTGGGTTATTTATGCCGGGCCTGATGTGGGTTTCTTTGAGCATTTCATTCTTCAAGTTGGTAGCACTTCTTGAATCTGTGGCTTGATATTTTTCATAGGTTTTGGAGGTATCTTTTATCTTTTTTTTTTGTTTGTTTCCATTTGGCTATTTTCTACCGATATATCTTCCAATTCATTAACCCTTTCTTTAGATGTGTCCAGTCTGCTTTAAATTCATCTACTAAGCTCTCAATATCTTTGCATTTCTAAAATGTCCACTTTATGCTTTTGTGTGTGGGTAGATTTGAGTTCTCTGATGTAAGTCTTTACCGTAACTTCCATTTCTTCACCATGTTAATCCCACTTATTTCAAGTTCTTGTCTGAAAATTCCATTATCTGGATCATCTGTAGGCCTATTTCTATTTCTAGCCTAATTTCTTGCTATTTTTATTAACAGTTGATTGAATATCAAATATTATTCATGGAAGTTTCTAGAAGCTTGAAGCAACAGTGCCATCTTGTTCCAGAGAATACTCATCTCATCTTCTGGATAATAGTGTAGGGGAAATTGGTCTCA